TCCCCACTTGTTTCTGCTCCCCCCTTCATTTTTTACTAGAAACGTTGTAACTATATATCCAAGTCAAATAGGAAAATGTTTTTTTGGGAGGGGGGGTGTCAAATCCTCATTTAGTTACTTTATAGTTAAGATTATTTAAGCTTTTGTGACGATATTATTAAAGTAGACGGTCTCTCTATTTTATATCATTGGGTTTTTCCGATTTTCGCTCGTACTTCACCCCATATTTGTGGAAAACGAATAAATCTTGGTTAGGTGCTTTGGTTGCAGGATCATAACTATTTGAAGGAAGTTAACCCATACACCATATTTGAGACTTCGAGTAGATAGAGGGGTGACAAGAAACTTTCCCTATTGACGTGAAACCAACAAAAGTGAATCTAAGTAAGATGAGGAGGAAAAATAGGATCAGCCCCCGTGTCGTCCTCCTCCAGGGCGACTCGGGCAGGGCGTCTCACCCCCTGGCGCAAGGCCTCCTCCCGGCGTTCACCCATCCGCCGCCGCCTAACGCATCCCCGGGCAAAGCCAACTCAGATCGGGCGGCGGCGTGATACGTCCATTTTGCATCATGTTTACATACTGTTATTTATATTGTTTTTATGCATAATAATGCTTTTTGAAGTAATTCTAATGCTTTTTATCTCATAATATGCAAGGTTCACACAAAGAGGGAGAATTCCGGCAGCTGGAAATCTAAACCTGAAAAAGCTACGCCAGGCCACCTATTCTGCACAACTCCAAATGATCTGAAACTTCACTAGAATTTTTTATGGAATAAATAAGAAATAATGGAGCAAATAACTACCGGAGGGGGGCTATCTGGTGAGCACAAGACACCAGGGCGCGCCAGGGCCCCCAGGCGCGCCCTGGTGGGTTGTGCTCAGCCCATCCCACCTCCGGTGCCCCTCTTCTGGTACTAAGTCATTTTGACCTAGAAAAAAAAATAAGGAGAGGACTTTCGGGACGAAGCGTCGCCGTCTCGAGGCGGAACTTGGGCAGGAGCACTTTTGCCCTCTGGCGGAGCGATTCCGCCGGGGGAACTTTCCTCCCGGAGGGGGAAATTCTCCTCATCATCATCACCAACAACTCTCTCATCTTAGGGAGGAAAATCTCCATCAACATCTTCAACAACACCATCTCCTCTCAAACCCTAGTTCATCTCTTGTGTTAAATCTTTGTACCGGAACTATATATTGGTGCTTGGTGGTGACTAGTAGTGTTGATTACATCTTGTATTTGATTACTATATGGTTTATTTGGTGGAAGATTATATGTTCATATCCATTATGCTATTTAATACCCATCTGATCTTGAGCATGTTTATCATTTGTGAGTAGTTACTTTTGTTCTTGAGGTCACGGGAGAAATCTTGTTGCAAGTAATGATGTGAATTTTATATGTGTTCGATATTTTGTTGGTATGTATGTTGTGATTCCCTTAGTGGTGTCATGTGGACATCGACTACATGACACTTCATCATATTTGGGTCAAAGAGAATGCATTGTGGAGTAGTTATTAGATAATGGGTTGCGAGGGTGACAGAAGCTTAAACCCTAGTTTATGCGTTATTCCATGAGGGGCTGATTTGGATCCAAAAGTTTAATGTTACGATTAGAATTTATTCTTAATACTTTTCTCGTAGCTGCGGATGCTTGCGAGGGGGTTAATCATAAGTAGGAGGTTTGTTCAAGTAAGAACAGCACCTAAGCACCGGTCCACCCACATATCAAATTATCAAAGTAGCAAACACAAATCAAACCAACATGATGAAAGTGACTAGATGAAATTCACGTGTACCCTCAAGAACACTTTGCTTATCATAAGAGACCGTTTTGGCTTGTCCTTTGCCTCAAAAGGATTGGGCTACCTTGTTGCACTTTTGTTACCATTACCGTTACTAGCTCGTTACAAATTATCTTGCTGTCAAACTACTCGTTACTTATAATTTTAGTGCTTGCAGACATTATCTTGCTGAAAACCGCTTGTCATTTCGTTTTACTCCTTGTTGGGTTCGACACTCTTACTTATCGGAAGGACTACGATTTATACCCTATACTTGTGGGTCATCACAGCGGGCCGCGGCTCTTAGCGCATCGTCAGCCCTCGAACTGGGGGATCGGGTGGTGGCTGACGGCGCGCGCTGCCCCGACGTGCATCGCCGAGCTCTGGGGTGGAGGGGACGGCGGTGGTTGTGGCGGATGTCGTCGGCCCGGTGCTCCTGGTACGTGCGTGCATCGGCGGAACAGGGTGCGGCGGTGCGGCTCCGTCGGTGGTTGGATGTGTTCGTGAGGCCCGGTGGCTGGCTACCAGCCATGGTCGTCGGGTTGCGGATGGCGTGATGGCACGCCGGCAACTGGGCGGAGACGCCCATGTCTACGTCCTTGACACCGCGGGCAACTCCAAGGGAAACCCTAGATCGCATTGCGATCGAGTGATGGCGGTGCTTTAGCGTCGTAGTCCCTCTTGAGGGCATCATTTTTAGAGTTTGCTCAGTTCAAGGGACCAGCGACGCTGGCGATGCATGGCCTGGTGGCGCGACTGCCGATGAAAATCGCGCGGACTTCAGTCATGGCGGACGATGGCGGTGTCTCCGATGTCGTTTCCTTGTTGAGGCATCATCGTTGCAGTTTGCGTCATCATGCTCGGGATGCTCCGGGGGAAACCCTAGATCTGAGCCTCCCGGATGGGACGATGTCAACGTCTTTGGTGTCGTTCTTCCTCCTAGGGGCATCGTTTTGGAGCAAGTGATGGTTGGAGGGGACTACTGGAGGAGCGGTGTTACATCTACCGCAAGGCCGACGGCGGATCCCGGCGGCATGGTGCCACGGAGATTCGACAACGGTCGTGTGTGGACGGACACGTGCAGGATGGTGGCGTTGTCTGGCGCCATGGTGGCGTCGATTGCAGACCAAGCAAGGTCGATGCGTCAGTTCCTGCTCTAGAGATGGACCGATGGATGATGGCGGTGGCAGCTTGTGAGAGTGTGTCGGTCCGGTGTGTGACCCAGTCTCAGTATGTGGCTGGGCTGGGGCATCCGGCTTTAGATGTTAGGCTTTGGTGCGATGTCTATTTGGTATTTGGCTCGGATATTCGGCATGCCTTCATGAAAGGGATAGGAGTAGCAATAGATATTGCCTAGATGGTGGCTTCAGACTTACCGATGTATTACTTTGTATGGTCTTTGTGGATAATAATTAATAAAATGGTCGTATGCATCGTCCAGATGCGGAGGCCGTGGGTATATCCTCCTTTTCTAAAAAAAGTACGATGAGGTAAAAACAAAATGCAGATT